CTTAGCTTGTTTGCCTAAAGATGTATATGGCTCATACGCTGTGCCTTAAATGTTAGTCAGCTTCTGTGTCCAGAGCCTAATCAAAATCACAAATGCACCAGGCACTGACTAAGAACCGTCGGAAAACAGATAACGCATATATAGTGTTAAAAACGACTGTAAGCATTTGTGTAAAACACCAACATACAGATTGGCCCAAAATTCTGGACACATGGAGTGACTATTTATTTTAACAAATCACATAGGGCTACTTCATATAGTTTATTAAATGCTCAATCTGACTTCCATTAACTTTAACGCGTGCATGAATTATCACTTGAAATTAATTTATGACTTTTTAAAAAGATTACTGCTGCGTTGTTCAGTATAAATACAAATTTATTGGAATTTGTTCGTCTTTGGTCAATTTTCTTTCCATTTATAAACGGCATCTTACAAAAGAAGAAGAAATATATATAAATGATAATAGATACAATATTAACTTAATGAATGAAAAATATGTTCCAATGCCAGTGTTAAAATTAATTAAATAACCCCAATGTGTCCTGATTTAGGCCACCCTGTGCGTACACTACTCGTGAAAATGAAAATGCACGCTTTGAGGATTTAATAAGCATGGATTTTGAGGACTGAAGGAGGCCCGTGCCTGTGGGCACATTTCATTAGTTTCTGTGTGGGTCTCAGAAAGGTTCTTTCGGTCTCTGCTTTACATTTTTTATTTGATGAGCAAATTTTGCACGGACCAATGGGTCTATACGTTTTTTTTGTCCAGCCCATAATAACTTCCCACTGTCTCTGTGTGTCAGCTGCTGTCTGAGTTGTCACCACAAAGGGACACCGCATAAGCATGCATTGTTGGCAACCCAACGCACATCACCACGTCACGTGTGTGTGTGTATGTGTGAGACACACATCAGGGTGACCACACGTACGTGTCACTTATGGCTCACGCACCCTCCCAAACTCTCCCTGCCAGACTATGCCACTTTCCAGTCAATGATACCGTACTGTAGGGAAAACCGCCTCCTTCCAGATGCTTCAAGCACAGGCGAACGTGAGTGTACGGGAGACCTCCGGAGTCCTTATTAACAGCAGTGGCATGAAGAAAACTGCTTTTTATGCGGTTTGTTATTATAAATGTACACCGATATCAAGTCGGCTGCCGTGGCGTGTCAACGAGCACACTGGAGGACGTCGGTCCGATTCGATCTTCCTGGCATGGCAGATGAAAGAGTGTTTCAACGTTTCTTAAATCTCTATCCCCTCCCCCACACCCTCACCTCCGATTAGCACGGTTGGTTATGCACGGTGCGAAAGAAGTTCAACACACAGTAACGTGCATGTGTCAACGAATGTACAAATGGGTGTCGCACGCAAAGACGGCTGGCCGTGCGCGCAGGAGTAGGCCAAATTATCCTCTGGATGGGTCCCTTTAGAATTCCCGATAGTTGTGGAGGCTCTTCTTCTAGCAGTGACGTGAGCAAGCAATTGCAGGGCTGCACCTTGACACTGGTTTTTTTACCTTCAGGGTGGGTGGTCAATATGTCTTGTGCCCCCCCCCCCCCCCAATTGAATTCTTTAAAACTGAATGTTTTTTTCAAGCAAGGCTTATTTTCAAAAGAAACGGCGAATATGCAAAGAAAAAAAATATGTTTGGGGTCTATTAATTGGAGGGGGGGGGGGAGTGGAGAGGGGTTGGTGTCACAAGACATCTGGACCAACCTAGACATCTGGACCAACCTAAACATCTGGACCAACCTATACATCAAGCGTGGGTGATTGAGTGCGGGTAAAACAGAGACATTTGCGCGGTCAGGGGGCACTGCTAGGGCAGTCGTCAAAAGTGGACTCGTGCCTCGCTGCTGATTGATTGTGGAGGAGATAAGGCTGGGTGGGAGTGGGCAGAGAGAGAGCGAGAGCGGGACGTTGTTCTCGAAGGGCACTGAGCAAACGGCTCTCGGCAGTGCAACAGTGCTGCTCTGTTAGGACTATACACAATTGCAATCATAAACCAGTTCAACTGTTGCCAAACTATATGAACGCAACTGCTTGTGCGCGTGTGTGTTTTAGTTATTGCATTTCTCCAGATTGTCAGACGCACTTTTCCTCACCCGTTCTCCTCCCGCCCTATCCAAATGCTGATTTGTAAATAGGTCGCGGGTTGCGTGCATCGTACATTAAAGAGCGTATTGTAATTGGGAGAATCACGGTATTGAATAAGAGATGGAGGTGGTGGGGGGATTTGTCGTTGTCGAAACGACTTTAAAAAAAATGTTGCAGTTTCCATCTATGCGCACGAGGTGGCGTGTTCTATCACAGCAGCTAATTGTGCGCGAGCTAGCGATGAACTGATCATAATTATTACGCGGCGGCGGTGATGCTGTTGCTGATGCTGCCGTTGGCAGCGGAATACAGAAAATAGCAACGCAATAAACTCGACACATTCGTCAATAACACCGTGGCCTCTTAAACAATTCGCCTGTTTGCGGCCTCCACTCTGCGTGCCCCGAGGAAGGTTGCCATTGCAATAAACTGGATCGACTGAGTTTGAAACACTACACCGAGTAATACAACCTGAGCGAGCCTTCCTATTGTGACTCAAGTTCGCCAAGAAAGCCAAACGCAATCTTAGCCTTTGCGTGCGGGCACTTTAAGTGATTGTTGGTGTGTAATTGGATAATTGGATGAATTAATGGATAAAGTTTTTTTTTTACCAAGATTACATGTAAAAAAAAAAGCTACCTTGGAAAAAAAGATGTCGTTTTTAAATTAAATGTCAGTGTTTTTTTAATGTGTTTTGTCATAGCACCTTTGGAATGGCATACTTTGTTTTATTTCTTGCTCAATAGCTGCATTTCGCAGTTGATAGCTTATGGCTGATTATGGGTAAGTTCTATACTGTATGCTCATATGCATTGGCTTCCTGTGGTTAATAAAATGCAGCATCGCGTTGTGAGAAGTGAACAGTACGTGTAAGTTATTCCATGTGCGAACTGGGCCCTGTCATTTTAACGTGGAATTTCCACCACTGGCTCAGGGCGGCCACCACCCACTGGTCATTTGACCAGAAGAAACACACTGTGACCTGTTTGAGTCGGGTGTCAGCGGGGTGTGATGGCGTGTGTGCCTGTCTTTTCCAGTGCTGTATATCCATCCAATTTTCTCTTGCAATAGCATTGTGACCAGGAGATAACCTTTGACCTGTTGGTTGTGGGGGTGTGTGTTTCTTTATTTATTACTACTTTGTCTCTTGCATTTGGTCGTTTGACCAGGAGATAAACTTTGACTTTTTGACCATAGCCTTGCATGAGTGGCACGTGTAGCATGGTGTGAATGGTGCTACGCAACTGGCGTCGGGAGTTGGATTTTTTTGGTTTGTTCTAAACAGCTAAATCCATAATAACGATGATGAGCATCTTCTATAAGCTGAACCCCCACGGCCTCTCTGCTGCACACAATAGCCGAAGCATCCCCATTGTGGTGTCGCCACGGTGCATTGTGCCAGGCTAGATGCCACGTGGAGTCTCGAAGGCTCACAGGAAGGGGGTCGCGTGACAGACCCAGGTGCCACGAGTTGACTGAGATGACTGGCAGATGTGCCAACTTGCTGTGTTTTAGCCGCCCGGCGCTCCGCTCGTTGTTGTGAGCGTCGCTCCTCTGCTGTTGCTGGAGGGCGACTGCCTCCAATTCCGTCACGAGCCTCCTCCACAGACGCCGATCTTGACACCGCTGGTACCGCTCATCAGCAAGTCCAATGAACTCCGACAGTTGTTTGTGCCACATCTCTTCTGTAACCCGTGTCACGCTCGTCTTGCCCAGGTTAAATAAAAGCTGCTTGCATATGCGGTGCAGTCGCACTCCAGAACAACATACTTATCAGAAAAAAAACCCTCAACACACTTCTTTAAAAAGGAAAAAAAATACTCTAAGTCATAAGCGAAGTTTCTGCTAATGGACCATTTTTTTTCTTCGTGCTTCTCCACTACGAGGTGAAGGCCTTCCAATGTCGTGTCCGTCATTAGTCGTTGATTTGACCATACTTCACCATGCTACGCCGCTAAAGGGTCGGTGAAGGAAGAGAGGCCGATGACCCTGTGAGATATCATGCAACCACCGATGTGAGCTTGCTTCGTAGCGGAGTCCACTAACCATCGCGTCACGGATGCACCCCCGAACATTTATTTATTTTCGTCATTACGAGCGATCCAATGAATACGTTGCACTAGCCAAGTATTTTTAGGTCCACTCACGTTGTTTTATACCTCGTGCAAATACAATGTACAAAGTGACGTGGCATCCCATTGTCACTACTGGTCGTGTCTGAACGCATATAGTGTACGTGCTGTCTCTCTGTGGGTGGGGAGCGGTGGTGCAAAGCGTTAGCGCGCTGCGCTACGAAGCCGGCGACTCAAGTTCGATTCCCTCTCGCGGCCGACACCAGTAGCGATTATCTGAACCGGTCCTGGTGCCCCCCCGAGGTCGACTCAGCCTCAAACGAGTACCTGCTGCGGTGTGTAAACATCGCGACTAGGGAGACAAAGGCGGCCGGGCGTGGTGCTGGCCCACCCACCCCCTCGTGTGCCGTGTCGGCCTTCATAAGTGCTCGTAAACAGCGCTTGCCCCCCACAGTCTATTAAGGCTATACGGGGGATCTTTGTCTTTGTCTCCATCTATCTCGGTTTTCTCTCTCTCTCTCTCTCTTGTAGTGTGTCCTCTGTGCATGTGGTCAACGAAACAAAAAGCTCTCTGAAGACAATCTCACGTCTTCGCCCCATCTCACACTCCCACAGCCACCTACCGCCAACAAGACTCCGCAACACGCAACCTCTCGCCGCTTCCAGCTCCACGTAATCGATGTTCAAGTCCCAGATCCTTGCCGGGTCTTGCGGTGAACCCCAATGGGAGTGGAAAAGGAGAGCGAAGAGGACGATGAGAGGGAGGGAGGACGAGATGGGAGGGACAGAGAGAGGGAGAGAGTGAGCGGGGGAGGGAGAGAGAGAGAGAGAAGGGGGGGGGAGGAGAGGGCACGAGTTGGGTGGAGAGCGAGTGGGGGTGTAGAACGCAGGGCCAGTCGAGGGATCCCAGACAGAGCGCAGCTCAGCGCGCAGCACGCACCGCGGGACCACTGCTCGCCTTGCCTGGACGCCCAAGTTTTTGCGGAGCAAGTTTCACACCGGCCGAGGAACGGCGACTTGGCTTCTTCACTCGAGGAATAATAATACTACACCGGTGCGGCGGATTGAACTAAGGGTTTTTTTTCTTCGCCCCCCCTACCTCTCCGCAACCCCATCGCCTCTCCCTCTCCCCCCTTGTTGCTGTCTTTTAAATGTGGATCTGCTTCACTGGACGCTGTAGAAGAAGGCCGGTTGGTGGGGAGGGCAAGGAGTGAACCAACGGGAAGACTTTGGATTTGCTTTCGTTGTTGGAGGGAGTGTTGGGAGCTTGGAGTCGTTGTCCTCCTCCTGCTACAGCTACAGATGCGAGGGCACATTGACTAGGGAGATAACGACACAAGAGTTCGAGTGGCCAGGGGGTCCCCAGGACCTGCGGGGCCCCAGGGGAAATGGGGGTAGGAGGCACCATGGCCCCAAGGAATGACAGCCCAGCTGGAACGCCGCCGCGCACGGCTCTGCTGGCCCTCCTGCTGCTGCTGCTGCTCAAAGTGGCCTTTGTGCACGGTGAGTTGCGATGGCTAAGGAGCACTCGCACCGAGGCACGTGTCATGCACTCTCACACACGCACACAGTGCAGGTAGCTACACGCGCCGCATGCACTTACGAAGACAAATATCATCCCCCTGTAGCCTTCAACAGACTGTTGGGGCAAGTGCTGTTTGCGAGCGCCTATGAAGGGCCACACGGCACAGGAAGGGGTGGGTGGCCAGCAACTACGCCCGGCTGCCTTTGTCTCCCTCGTGCCGATGTTTACACATCGCACTGGGCATTCGTTTGAGGCTGAGTCGACCTAGGGGAGGTCCGGGGTCGGTTCAGACAATCGTCGCTTGTGTTGTTGGCCGTGAGCGAGAATCGAACTCGGGTCGCCGGGATCGTAGCGCAGCGCGCTAACAGCTACACTACCGCTCCCCGCACTGACACGTCACTTTCCCAGCCTGTGACATGCACTGACAAGGGACCTGCGGTGGAGCGATGGTTAGCAGCACCACGGGAAGATGCAATCCAGAAGTCGTCGGTTCGATTCTATCTCACGGCGCGGCAGCAGTGTAAGTTTATTGGATATCCCCTCCGCGGACTCTGTTCACCCAGCAGAAATAAATGGGGGGCGGTTACACCACAGTCAATCGGGAGGTCGCTTGTGGTGGGGTAAAGTGTGGGTACGCCCATCTCTTCCAACGCGTCGGCTATACGGTGGAAGAGTAGACCAATTGACCCTGTGGTGGAGGCCCTTCCACAATCAGGGACGCATCTTTACATTGAATGATAGCACAGGCGAGCGAACGCGCGCGCACTGACACAGTACCCCGCACACACTCGAGCGCTGGTGCTGATGTAATCTTCATCCCGTCATCGCGTGCACTCCCTTCCTTGTCACTCTTAACCACATTTTTGACTTAGCCGATAAGGGCATGGGAGGCCGTCGCATTCCGCTGCTGCTCGATCTGCTGCCTTGATTTCAGATTTCACTTTACTCGATGTGCATACTGCGCGTGATTAAACATCCTCCGTCATACTTTGCTCAGCAAGTGGTCGTAAGCTGAAGTACACACGCACACACGCACACACACACCCCACATAGGCATTCCTTTTAGCCTGCGAGGATGCTGGGTGAAACAACACACTTACAATATGTACACACACACACGCGCGCGCGCGGATCACAATGTCTGTCATGCGCACAATAGGTTACAGGTTATGTGTAAGTAGAAACAGAATTGGTTTTTATTTTGCGTTCCGGTCACCGAGATGAATTTATCGTCTCGACGTTTCGGATGACTGCCCTTGGTCAGAACACGCACGCACGCACTTACACGCGTATTGCGACATGCATCGCGTGGGCATTGTATTTGTTAATTGAAGGGTCCTGCGAGCAAACCATTGTGAGTTGATCCGCCTCATTTCACAGTTTTAACTTTGAGCTCAATCACTTTCCACCCACAAGAGTCGTACATGTTACTAAGGGAGACCCGGACGAGAGCGTGCGTGTATTAGTGTGTGTGTGTGCGCGCTTGTGTGTGTGCTCGCTAACAGCACTTGCCCCCACAGCCTGCTAAGGCTATACGGGGGATCTTTGTCCTTGTGTGTGTGTTGAGCAGTAGTGTAGTGGTTAGCGCACTGCGCTACGAACCGGGCGAAACAGGTTCGATTCCCGCTCATGGCCACCACCAGTGACGAATTTGTGAATCAGTCTTGGGCCTCCCCTTGGTCGACTCAGCCTCAAACGAGTACCTGGTGCGATGTGTAAACATCGCCACTGGGGAGACAAAGGCGGCCGGGCGTGGTTTCTGCCCATCCTCTCGTGTGCTGTGCTGACCTTCATAGGCGCTACTCGCTAACAGCACTTGCCCCAACAGTCTGTCGAGGCTATATGGGGGGATCTTTGTATTTTGTTTTTTTTATGTGTGTGTGCAGGGGAAATTGGGCGTCCTTACAATTGAAACTGGTTGATGCCAATTGATTTTGTGAATTGAGCCCCGGGATCAAATTAGGCGGCATTCATGCACGTCATAATTATAATTTAAAAACATTATCCGCTGCTGGAGGAATTCTCCGTTATGCCGTTTGGGGTCTGCCGGGGTGGGGTCGGGGGGGTTAACCATATTTAACCACACTGGTCAGTTTGGGTTGGTAATAAAACAAAATCTGGAAGGGCATGGCCAGGGGCGCTTACCGGTAACCGATTCAAATATCAAGTCAAATGTTACCCGTGGTTCGGAATCGAATGTAGGTTGGTGGCTGCATTCATCGCACGCTCAGCACGCTAAATCGCCACTCACTCTTCACCCAAAATTCTGTGCTGTGCACAAATCGCATGTCACGATGCACATCGCACGATGGAACAAAACGTGGGGTGGTTAAGGCGTACGCCTTACAGCTGCTTAAGTGTGGACATTAAAACAAGCAACCTTCAGAACGCGACGTCGAAATACCGAGATAGAAAACAAATGGGCTTAATGTAAGTTTTTCGTTTCGAGAGGCAAAATCACTGATGGAGGGAGGGAGGGAGGCAAGGTGGCGATGGTGGCGGGGTTGTTTCGCAGTGACGAGAGCGCTGCACTACGAGCCCGGCATCTGAGTTCAATTCACGGCGCCGGCGGCTTGCCATGACCGGCGAGTGATATCCGAACCGGTCCTCTGACAACTAACTCACCTCCCCGTCCATTTCCACCACCTTCGCCAGCTCGTCGTGGCTGTCCTAGTGAAGTATGGCCAAATAACCCCCGTGACAGACACGGCGTGGGGGAGCCATCATTTAGCGGTGGATTGACAACGCGATGTAAATTAACCATTGCATTGTTAGAGTCAACAGTTCGGACTGCGGTGTGTAGGGAAGAGAGAGAGAGAGTTACGCGCGTTGGCTTGGTCTGCCTGTTCGGGTTTGACGTATCAGGAGCTAGCAGCAGCACAGCCTGGCCGCTGAGCAGAATTGCTACAGAATGACAATTGCAGGGCGATATTACTTTGCCCTCTTACGAATTGCATTATGGTGCCTTCTATTCGCCTGGTTATTGCTGGACAAGACCTAGTGCCCCCCCCCTCCACATCTGGCAAAAGAAGAGTGACCGTCAGTTTCACTTCACGTTGCTCTTCGCTGTTGCGCTTCGCTGTTGCGCTTCTGCTTTATACCCAGCAGCTACGCAGAATAAAATTATACTGTAAGCATATACAGCCTTCGACTGTGATATAAGCCATTGTTTGCGGAGGCAATTGTATTAGACATGTATGCGTGGGTGGTAAAAGTGGACGGTACTGCGTGCTGTCATGACACTGCTGGATGATGGCTCGCCCTTAGGGGCCGTCCATAAATGACGTCACGCGATTTTGGACGATTTTTGACCGCCCCCCCTCATCACACGGAGTCACAAATGTCTGACCCCCCCCCCCCGATGCGTGACGTCATTTATGGACGGCCCCTTACGCTATGTCAGTCGCAATGTTGGTCATGGGGGTTGTTTGGTTTGACCATACTTCCCCACTTTGGCCAGTGGTACGGATTGGTGAGCGTGGGAGGAAGACGGGTGGGGTGGTGTATTAGGACTCCTAGCGAGGACGGCTTCTGATATCACCTGCCACTGTGGACGACACTCCAGTAACGTACTGCAGTATATATAAAAAAACATATACTGCCACGCATTGCGATAGTCTAGCGAAGGACAACTATTCAGACTTGCTCGTCGAGAATGGTGATTGGGATACGAAAAGAAAACCCCAAAGGGATTGACGGAGTAATGATAATAATTCGCCAGGAACAGAAAAGTGCAATCAATGCCAATGCAGTGTCCCATTGCTGCGTGGATTTCGAGACAAATTGGCTGCACAAAGTCGTGTTATGATAACGCGGTTGCCTGCACAGGCCATTCACATGCAGTGCCACGTCTGTATACAATATATAACCCCTTGTCAATCCACTGCTGGATGACGGCCTCACCACACTAAAAAAAAAGACAATGCATATATTATCAGAGTTTTTTTTTTGCATTCTGACCACAAGTATTGTGGTTAATGCAGACATGATTCATTGTGAAAGGTTTCAGTTTGGTGTTTAACATCTTAACACCTGTTTTGTTTCGATTTAAAGCTTTCGTGACTGCAGGGATTCATCTTCTTGGTTCTTTCGGTAAAGTCACGTAGAAGGGAAATTCTACGTGACTTTACTTTGTTTTGTTGCCAGAAAAAAAGGGGAAAACCTATGATCATATTTTGGTACTGGCAAAGGAAGTCCCATGATAACGTGACATTTGTCGAGTGTCCAGAGTTTCGAGACTTGCTTCGGTCGGAGGGGGGTTATTTTGTAGTTTTGATGCACCACGTGTGGCAGACTATTTGTTGAGCTTGTTTGCTAATTGTTGGAGCCACATGCAGCCTTGCCCAGACGTGGTATTACAGCCCAGCATTTCAAGCAGTTTTACAACGTTTAACCGACCAAACAAGCTTCGAGCGATGTGCAAACAAAAACAGGCAGAGAGAGAGGGCATTGTTGCGAACGAGCAGCGAATACAAAAAAGCTACACGTGGACTGCCGGTGTCGTCTAGAACACATTGGTAATCGCGGTCATCACGCAAGAGTTAAGATGCGACGATGCTAGCTTGAGTGGTTCTCTTCCATTAGCCATTCGGCATGCCATGTCAACAGCCGCAGTAAATTCAAGTCCATTCCACTGAAGGGTTGTTCATGCCGCGTGTCATTTCTGGACAAACCGGTCCTGAGAACGCGTCAACACGTCAGCCGTGGCCAAGTAAAGCTCAAAATAGGACCATTATTGTCGTCTTGTAATCAGTCGTAGAGTGCTACTTTCTTATACACATTCACTCTGATTTTCTTTCCTCTAGCGTGTGTTTTTTTTTATGAGCATACATCTTACTAATTTCCAGGATATTGAAAACGCGGGGATGAATTCGTGTTTTTAATGATTTCACGTGGAATTTACGAATGTGCTCATGGTGTGCACCGTATCAGAACTGTGCTGTTTTATCTCAAACAAGCAACGGCAAGAATTGCTTGA